TTCCCCATTCTTTTCAACCATCGTTCTTTTCAAAAACCGGATCTGTTTCCAAGCTGGGTTTTTGATGATTTCCTGCTGGAAGGAACGGGGAAGGTACCCGTAGCTTGTTCTTCTGCATGTCCGACGCCGAGCTTGGCCTGCTCTTCATACAGCACCATAATCTCCCGCGTGTGCTCCTCGAGGCCGAGGCTAGGCTGGCAACATCTGAGCAGCCAAGGAAGCATGTACCCTCCCACCAGCTAACATGGAAGTGCACAGACCCCTGTAGAAACTTTTCTCTTGGAACGGGCCGCCTTGCACTTCCATGCTAGTTGGTGGGAGGGTATCTGTTGTTCTAGTGCATTCAAACACTTATTTTTGTGTTGGGAGCTGCAAGCCTTTCGACCATTCGCTTTCACATTGGTGCTCCAACATTTATTGCTCGGCCAAGCTCCATCCAATTTTTGGATGGGCCTAAAAATAGGTCGAGCCATGAAAGCTGAGATCCAAAAAGCCAATCGGTTTTTGCGAGTTGAGCTACCGCATACGCAATGTCTCTAGGGCATCAAAAAAAATGAAACCCGGGTCATACTGTCCGTTGCTCATTTATGGCTGGATACACAGCAGGTAACACGCGCACGCGTCACGTGTCTAAACATTGCAACTGCTCAGAAACAGAAGATACCTCCATGTACAAGCGCGCTTAGCTTTTGCTGACACACATTGCTAGCTCATGTGCTAGTTGATGTATACACAACATCCGGTCATGCCCTTTTGGCCCAACACATCGACGCAACAGCGGCTGATGCTGCTCTCATTCTTGCCTTTCGCACCCTGGCGCTTCCGTTGGGAATATTCGAGCAAAAGGGCAGCACAAAGGCCTTTCACCTGTGCGGTCACTTGGTAAACTAACATAAGCCCTGCGCCGATCATATTGGAGTATGTTTCAGCTGCTGCAAAGATTCGACCATGCAACACATCCCAAGCAAGATGAAGCGACGCCAAACAAGCACCCGTTCTGCATCCCACAACTGGAACAACTCAAACACGTCAACCCTGAACAAAACCATAAATGCTACACTGCTACCTCTAAGTCACTGGGCAAATAAAATGTGAATCATGCCTATGAGGTCGTTTACTTTCGGGAATGTCTCTTAGCACCCCGGCGAAGTCGCTTCATTCGCAACGATGGTCTCTTTTCAGTGACGAAAGTGCGTTTCACAAAGGGTGCCCTTTACCCCTGGTCGCGGCATGGGATTCACGGGCAAACCACGGCTTTCCCCATAGAAGCCAAAGGGACCCCAGTGTCAAGTTCAAGGCTTGCATCAGAATCTCTCAAACTTGGATTCTTCGCCCAAGGAAAACCACAAAACCAACTTCCAAGTCCTGCTGAAACAACAAGGCAGCAGGAAGCACATCACCAGGTAAATGTGCATCCGCAACCGAAGCCCCAAGGATACGTGCGACCAATCCTCCCACAGCCACAGCAGCAACAGTCATTGCGCGTGGCAGCATGCCCACTGACAAAGGCGCCCTATTTGGCCATGGGTCAAAAGCCAAATCGTACCCCCGGTGAACATTCCAATCCCCACTAAAATAGGTTCTAACATGGGTGGGGCACCTACCCTCAGATGCCCATTGCCCATAGGAAAAAAAGGGCATCCTTTCTTTGCTTGACTTTCAAGGAATCGAAACCCTTCCCGAAAAAAAGTTGAAAAAGGGGCGACATCCACTGGGCAACTAAGCACCAACCAAAATAAGCCCGTACCCCAGTGAACATCCCAATCTCCACTAAGATAGGTTCCAAAATGAGTGGTGAATTCACCTACCCCCAAAATGTGGTGCACCTATCAACCAAAATGGGATCCCAAAACGGTTTCGACCACCACCGCCATTTAACGAGTTCCGCGTCCTGCTCCAAAGTGGCCAGCAGCTCGCTCGCCAGCGGAGCAGCCACCTACCAGGTCCGCTTGTCTCGCGTGAGGCAAATGACTATCCAAGTTGGCTTGGGGTTGGGGTTGGAAGTCAATGCCCGAATAAAACCTATGGAGTCTCCATGACCTTAAAAGGGGTCGTGACTGGTCATGACCCCATTTGTTAAGCCTCATGCAGACACCAGGCAAACGCCAAATCACCAAGAAAAATGTCTAGTTCAACTGTCATTCCAAACGCCTAGGAAAGCCGTCTGAGCAATAGGGTTTTGACTATGCCATAAGCAAACCCGAACATACAATTAACATGGTGTGCTTACTAAGGCGTAAAACTCTGAGGCGCATCGCAAGAAACTGGCGGGAATATCCAAGTTGCTTTGCCACGGAGAAAACGGATGGCGAAGGCTTCGCTCTTTCTGGAGCCAATTCTGTCCAAGCACCGGGCTCTGCCATGGGGAGCTGGGAATCTCAGGCTAGCGGAGCAGAGGTTGTCACATGGACTTTTACCGAAAACACGCACCATGGGCTTCCATTGGCTTGAGTCCCCTGGACAAAATAAACATGTATTTCCAGTGGTGATAGACTCTAATTGAAACCAACAGGGGAACATAAAATATATTCTTAACCAAATGGAAGTGAGTTCCCTGAAAAAGGTACCATCAAAAAACGGACAGCACTCAGTCATCTTCATTGGCATCATGAAAACGCGAGGCAAACCTTCATGCCTTTCAACTACGAACACATGAGAGTTTGTCAACATATATGTCATGAGTCATGACAATTCAAATAATCTGGCTGAGCAAAAAAGCCAACTGGAACTGTATGACGAAACAACGTGGGTTACACCAGAAGTACTGGTGAACGAAAAGGCGCGTGTTCCCCTTGTTGGGCTGTCATGGTGTCATTCATGGCCTTAATGGAATGAGGGACCCCCAGATTGATAAACCCTGGTTATCCTGGTTGATTAGTAATTAGGGGTGTCCCCGTTTGGTGGGGATTCACACTTTTGGAGGGAACACCCCCTTGCTAGGATGGGTTATTTCTGCGGGGGCCACGTTGACACGTATTTCACTCTTGCTGAACTCGCAGAATCTTACGAAACCAGCGCTTCATCCTCCAAAGCCCATCTGGTCAGTCACAGATCTGCGCCTGCTCGAACGCACTCCCAGACCCCATGCTTCCTGGCATCAGGTGCGGGAATTCCCATCTACCCCATAGCATCTACAGCAAGCCCCAGGGAGTTCTCGGTACCGTCTTTAAATATGATCTTGGAATATCTTGGCACAGTAACGCCAAGGCACAGGCCCCATGTCTAGTGACCCCATGGGACTCTACTTTGGTACACGGAATGAAGGAAACTCCCATTCCAGTGGTTGATGTGTTTCCCTTACTCTAGGGGTTGATTCCAACCATTCTTCTCAAACATCGTTCTTTCCAACCACTGGCCGTTTTCCCTGGGTTTTCGGAGGTTTTATAGAAAGAAGGAACCCTGCAAAGAATGGGGAAGTTTCCCATAGACTTACGTGTTTCCCCCGAGGACGGCTGTCTCTGTCAACTCTTCTGCACGGGCCATGCTTTGCCCAGACTGTTGGAACCAAGTGCTTAACATGTCAATGTCATTTCGTTCAGACCTCAGCCTCAAACTGGTTGGCTTGCATTCGGCTTCCCAGCCGAAGACTGTCTAAAAAACTTACCCAAAACAAGTATCACATGCTGCAACTTGTTCGAAAAGGAAGTTCAACCCCCCTGGCTCCCAGCTCTTTTTTGGTCACGAAACGGAGACCCTGCTGCATGTCTGGGCCCCTGCTAAAAGTTTTTAACTTTTAGTTGCCTAAGGAGCTGGATTGCTGGGAACCAGGGACTGATGGCTGGGAACCACGGACTGATGGTGGAAAACAACCGAGTTTTGAGAGGAACACCAAACGGCGACCAACGGTTCAACCATTTTTGGGGCTTCAAAAGGGCCCGGTTTTTGAGTTTGGGGAGGTTGTAGTGCTTTCACACCTTTTCGTTTTGTCGAGTGTTGGCAGGATCAACCGGAGACCAACCATTTTTGGGCTGCCCCTGCTAAAAGTTGAAAGCTTTTAGTGCAACCTGAGACGGATGGCTGTGAAACAACCTCCAAACGGAGACCCGCCATTTTTGCGGGGGTTCAAAAAGGGGTTTTCCCCGGTGCCCATCGGCCTTGCCTGGGGGCCAGGACCGCACCGAGGAGGGCGAGGCCATGGCCGAGTCGCCGAGCGATCGAGGTGGAGCCCAGTGAAAATTCCCCCACCCAACCCGCAGCCCTAGATCCAAGGGTGGGGATACCGTTTTTGTTTAGGAAAACAGCTTTTTGTTTTTGCTTAAAGGTTTTAGGACAATCCCGCAGGAAAACAGCTCCCCTTTTTTTTAAGGGTGTCTTGGAAGGCCATGTCCTGCAGGTTTTTCCTGTAGCCCAACCCTTTGAGAATGGGAATTTGGCAACGCCCCAAGTCGTGCGATGTTTTTTTGCGCGAGGCAAAGGCAGGAAGGCTTAGCAAGCAACCTCAGACTGCGAAAAATGAAGAAGAGTGGTACAACAATTGGATCTTTCACCTACCGTTTACAGGGTAATTTTGATGGGTGTCACTCAAATGGACCCGGCAGAAGGCAGCTTGGCACTGCCAAAGAGTGTATTTTAGGCATTTGCGGGGATTTCTCTCTCTAAAGTCCGGCCTGGCAATTTGTTTCAACGACATCTTGGAAGAGAAAACTTCAACTGATGTGTGGTCAAAGCGCTGGCTGGAACATATCGGTTCTGTTGCCGCCACCTTGGCCTCATGCTAAAGGGGCAGGCATCATGTGGAATCCTTTGCTGGAAATTGCCACTTTGCCCCGTGGGCTCAGGCCGAAAGGGCTGCGCGGGTCAAATGGAGCATGCCATGGACATCCCTTTGCTTCAATCCTCATGCAATGGGACGAGGGCCAGTCCAGCTGTCCCATGCAACCGGTCAGCTTTGCTTCTCTGAAAAAAGCCAACAGCTGTTTCCAAATGGCCAAGCGCAACCCGTCTATGTAAGGGGCGTGGCTTGTGTGATGCGCCAAAGACGAAGGTAGTGGGCAACTGGCCTGAGGCCAGTGCCATACAAACCTCACGTCCCGCCGCGCGCCATCATGGCAGTGATCTCTGTTTCAAAGTGGGGTGCCTGTCACCCCACTTTGCACCCGCAGTTTCTTTGTTGTCAGTATGAAACATCTTGCTGCAAGCCCTCATTGGATGACCGGATAAGCATCACGCAAATGACCGGTTGAATTTGGCAAAAAGGAAGCCGTAGCATCAGCATCACACAAAATGCCACAAGACGTTGACAAGCAGACGTGCGCAAATCACCCACAAATTGCTAGTGCCGTTTAAGATGGACAAACATAAACATGTGAGAACAAAACAATTCATGAGAGCGCTCAGCCATGGTTCCAGTTCCCTTGGATTTGAACCTAGCACCAAGACTAAGTGGGAAGCCATAGGCGATAGGACACTATCACCGTGAACAGAGAAGTCAAACAGATTCAATGCCACAAAAACGAGCCAACTGCGGCGCCAACTCAATTGCATCTTTCGGACTCGCTCCTTTCTTTGGGTCCCATGAAGCTTCTGGGTAAGGAAGAACCGTGTTCTCACTAAACCGGGGATGGCAAGCAAAAGGATAAACTTGACAGCTGTAGAAGGACCACAGTATCGTTACAAGCACGGCATATTTGAGCATTTTCAGAAGATGCTCCACGTTGGGGTCTGGGAGGGTTTTTTTTGGATGATTAGAGCAGTTGTGACGCTACCCAATAGTCACCAGTCACCAGTCACCAGCGAATGTCGGAATGCGCTTGTTCGTAGAATCCGGCAACCTGACTGTGGGGATCCACAAGTGAAGGACCTTCTTCATGTGAGATGTTGCTTTGGTCCCACGTAGGGTGAATACTATGGCGGTTGCCATGATTTGCCAGCGTGGGGCTTCAGCGATATGGGCGCACACCCCCCCTAGGGATGAAACGGTCACCATGACTTGGAAGCTTGAGCAAGCTTCGTGTACCATCATCATCACAAGTCAGCCCCTGCTTGCTGGCAGGTGGGAAATTACAAAGCTGACGAACTGATGATAGCTGCTATGCTATACCCGTTCACCAAATTGGACACTGAAAATCAAGATGAGGCCAGTTCGCCTGGAGGGCAAACGATTCGAATCCTGTTTGCATATTATCAGAAGCTGAGCATCTGGCGGGTCTCCATCTGTGGCCTGCTCCGCGCAAAGACTGGTGCGAATGAGGTGAGGAAGAAACTGCGAAGACACGGCATTTGGCTACAAGGACCTACTGCTACTGTGGATGGACGAAATCCTGCACCAACTAAGAGGCCCTAGAGGGATGATTCCCCTATAAATACCAACGAACAATGGTTTCCCATGGTTTCCAAGTGATGCAGGATTTTGTCCATCCACAGTATGTCTTGTATATATTGGACCTATGCGCGTGTCTTTTTGTTGAGGTTGCCGCCTTTTTGGTGGCTTCAAAAAATAACAAAAAGACAAACACTTTGTTGTTTGCTTCTTTTTTGGCGGGATCCCCCAGCAGCTGGCAAAGGACACACCCATTTGGACACGCTCTTTGGTGGATGATTCCTTGCGCCTCGGCCGGCTGAAAGAGCTAACCAATAGCTTTGCTCTACCTACAAGGGATCTTGACGTTTGGAAGAAAGACTCTGCATTCAGGTCGATTAATCGTCGATTTCCCATTGGTAGTCCAATATCGTTCCTCGATTTTGATGCCACGTGTGCTGCATTTTCTGTGCGGGGTCGATCCAATCCATTTGATGACATGTTCCACTGGCGTGCCCAGCACGCAACAAATTGTTGCAAATCAATGCTGTTCGAAGCACTCGGTCACCAGCCGCATGTTTTCTGTTAGCCCCTTAAAACATTCAGCGAAAAATAAAAGCCTATTTCAAGGTCCAGTTGAACAAGTGAAACCTGATCCACCAGAGTGGCCCCGTGGACGGAGTCGCCCAGTGGACGTTATCTGTGAGTTCCCTAGTATTGGACTTTCTTCATGCAGGTACTTCACCTGCACTTTGTTTTTGGCTGGATGAGACTTCCGAAAAAAGCAACATAGTGGGGTTGTTTGTTGATCAAAGACATCCAAGCTGGGGTAACACGAAACAGTACCACACAAGTGTAAATGACTTTTTGGGGATAGCCACGTTGGGTTGGTTCTAATAGAAAACCTAAGGGAATCCAAGCAGTTCTGGGGCTCTTATTTCTGATACAAACCCAAATGTCGCTAATGTGATACTGTGGATGGACAAAATCCATTTCGCACCAGTTGGAAACCATGGGAAGCCACTGATTGTTGGTATTTACAGGGGAATCATCCCTCCAGGGCCTCTTAGGTGGTGCAGGATTTCGTCCATCCACAGTATGGCTATCCCGCCTCCACCTTGGCCGCCAAAGCTTTGCTGGCGGCGGCGAGGAGCAAACGACTTGCGGGCACCTGGCGTCGAGGAAACCAAAAAGCTCCCCAGATAAATTGTGAACGGAAAAAAGCGGCACCATACTGTGGATGGTTGCGACATCCTATTTCGCACCACCCAAGAAACCCCGGTTTCGGATGATTGCCCTGTAAATACCAGCAAAGAGTGGTTTACCATTGATTCAAAGTGGTGCGAAATGGATTTCGTCCATCCACAGTAGGGGTCTGGTGTTGGGTGGGCATCGGTAGAAAAAACAAGCCCAAAATGGGCTCAACCCACCCCCATTCTCTAAATTCATGTCGAACCCAGCTGAGCACTCTTCTTTTGGTGGTTCCGCCACATTACTCAAGACCCCGAAACCAAAAATCTTAGGGGAGGGAAAAGGCATGAACTAAATTCAAAGGGACAGGAGTACGTGGGCAGGACATTCTTTGGCGGTTGATTAGCAAAGGAAACCCTCTCAACAAAGGGGGCAAAGGAACAAGAAGCACCACTGTGGGGAAAGCGGCTCTGGACTTGGTATCCGTAGACCTTGCAGTGAAAAAAAGAGCCCCCCAGCTGACCAAGAACATGACACGGGATGTCGCCAAAAACGTTCTCTGCCCGCCCTCTGTCGTTCTTCACCACCAATTCGCATCCTGAAACACGATCGCCCAAACCTGACACGTGTGATTAAGGCAGTGTACCCCAGGAGTGCGGTGCCAAGGGGCCATTTGATGGGCTCTGAGCAACGGACAGGGTTCAAAATAGAGTTCAAACTTTAAAATCAAGATATATATAGATATCAGAATGACACAATGTCAGCTTCAGACTGTTCCGAAGGACGTTCCGCACGTTAGCACGGGCAGTTTTCCTTCAAATCAGAATCAACTCACTAGGGCTGTTCCCCCACATTTTGCTGCACTTAACAGTGTAGAATCAACATGGAGCAAACCAATACGCACGTGCCCCACACCTGCATGCACACCCGTGCACCGGTCCACTAGTCGCCTCACCATCTTGCGCTCGGATGGCCTTGGCCGAGGCCCAAAAAGCCAAGGCAGCTAGAAAGCTCCCTGTTGGGGGAGGGGTCAGGATGGCCGGGTTTGAGAAATCTGCCAAGTTGGGATCGCGGGATCGTTGGTTCGTATGCGCTTGCTGGTGAGTAGGCTGGCAAGGGCCAGTAAGTAGGCTGCAATGGCAAAGCATGAACCTCCCTGGAGCCAACTTCCACCTGCGACAAACATGCGTCTGTGTGTGTGTGTGTGCACCCTAAGGCTGCAGATGTCTTAAATTTAAGAAATCCATAGATGTACGTAAACCGATGAATTTACGAAAGCATCTTCTTAACGCATAATTTACGTTTTCTTTTTTTTTTTGTAGGTCCTAATATATATATATATATATATATATGTATCGAGGAGGCCGAAACATCTGCGACCTGCTAGTCCCGAAATGCTACCCGCGCCAGCGCAAAGCTGAAGGAAAATACAGGTTTGAGTAGCACTCCAACAACGCAAGGAAAGGAGTCAGCGCATTTAAAATTGTCAATGCAGCAACACGTTGAAGCCAACGCACATCCAGACTTCTTCGCCACAAAAAGGCAAGTGTCCCTGACTGCGCGGGGGGGGGGGGGGAAAAAGTACACAAAACGAGCCTATGCTGTTTGATCTTGGCAATCACACACACTGACACAAGCAAGTGATTCAGGCTGCCAGCTTTACTTCCCTGAGTACTCGCACAGACACAAGGTGAGAAGGCTGCCAGCTTTACCTACCCGAGTATTCACACTGAAAAATGTAAGTGGTTCAGGAGCAAATTCATCAGAAAAAACAAAACACTGTATGAACTTTCCATGACGGGTTCAATGACTTTACCTGAGTTGATTGTTTCTGTCATGCATTTCCTTTGAATGTTCTGTGAATTTCTATGCGTTTTCTATGCGCTTTTTAAGCACTTTCTATGCACTTGATATTTGTATGCATTTCCTTTGCACTGTTGATTGTATTCTATGCATGTCCTATGCACTTTCAAAGTGCACAACAACAAACAACATAGAAAGTGAATACCAAAATGCATAGAAAACATAGAAAGTTCATGCACAGTCTCTAGGAAATGCATGAGGCAATGACAGAAAGTTCATAGACTTGGCCTATGTTTTTTCAATGTTTGGATTCAAAATCAGCAGGGTGGCAGTGTGCAGCATTTGGTGTTATTGAAATAGTCTCCCACGGCCTTTATTTTACATGCGCACATATTGCAGCCTGTTATGCGCAGGTCTAGGCTTCCTATCCCTGCCCCCCACTGCCATGGAGACCAGCTCACCTAGCAAGAGGTCTGATGCCCGGTTCAGATAAGCAAGCATCCACACAGCAACAGGCAAAGCCTAAGGCTACTCCTAAGCCTCTGATGAAGAAGCCGGCCCAAGCCAAGCCCAAGCCCAAGCCAAAAGCAGTACTTAGGTAAGTAAAGCTGGCAGCCCGAGTCACTTACTTGTGTCAGTGTGAATGCCAAGGTAAGTAAAGCTGGCAGCCTGAATCACTTACTCGTGTCAGCGTGAATACTCAGGTTATTTAGGGCTGGCAGACAGAATCACGCCGAACAAATTGAACAGACCACTTGAACGAAGCAAACTTACCATCGAGCAACTGCTGAAGATAATCACTTTTCAGTACAAAAAAGTGCTTGAAACTTGAGAACAAATACTAAATATGATTTAGTAAGTTACTACACGTAGGTTAGTAAGAAAAAAGGAACGTGTTTTTTTTTTGTGTAAGACAATTCTTCTTAAAACAAATACTTAAGGCACGACGTTTACGTAAACCCTTCGCTTCTCAAAATTCAGACGCCTGCAGCCAACCGGGCAGTGCGTGCGTGCGCGCTTCAACCGGGCGCCGAGTGCCCGGCCAGGTCCCCGAACTTCCGCTGGAGGCTCAGCAGCGCTTCGCCCCGGGCCTTGACGAAGGTCAACGGTCTGTTTACCCCCAAGTAACACGGGTTTATGCACATTTGGCCATTGGATGCCATTGGTCAACATAGGCACCCAAAAAGGGTTGCCATGGTAAATGGACACAGGCACTTGTATGGACTTCAATCTGCGGTCCCCTGGTGTGTTAACTTTGACCCACACCAATTTGACCCCTGGAAAAAGTTGCTTTTGCACCGGGGTCTGTGCACAAACCCGTGTTAGTCGGAGAGGGGTTCAGTCCTTCTCCTCAAAAATTCCAAGCTTCGAGGGACGCCATACGTCTCCCCGTGCCCAATGGACAGCAACTGCCCATTTGATCTCGCCCAAAGAAGGCCTCAGTTCAGTGACCCTGGAAAACGAAGGGGACCCTTTTTTGGGAAGACCACTTTTACTGGGGCAGCCACGAAAAAAAGGGGAAAAAGGGTGACCCTGAACAACTGAGAGACTTGAACTTGGCTTGAGCTTGGCTTGAACATTCAGCCCGTTGATCTCAACAGTTTGGACAACTCCATGCCTCTCGAATGCTGAGCACCAGAATTATCGTATTGCTAAGGAGGCAGAATGCGCCCGTTAAATGCCCGGCTACTAAGCCCAAAAAGCCCTTCGGCAAGCAAGAGGCCCATCTGCCACCAACATGGCTGCTTCTCAAGATGACTGCCGCCCTGAATGCACACATCCAGGTGCCTACAGTGCCAGTGTCCTGGCAAGCACTGGTTTAAGGGCACATAGTGTTGTTTGCAACATATCAGCACATGTTCACTCTCGACCATGCTTAAGAATAAGACGTGTCCGGGTTCAGGGATAGACATCTCCCACTTCCCCAGTCACCTGATCCGAGGTCAGATTCCGCTCAAACTTGGGTCAAACCCATTGACGCCGCCCTCTAGGGCTCCGGTCCCAGCTCTCCTGAGGGCTGCGGGTTAGACAGCTGAGAACGTACCGGGGTCACAGAATTTCCCCTTGTAGCTGATAAATTTGCTGGTGCTCAGCAGGGAATGAGAAATGGAATGCCCCCATAAACAATCGCCTATGGTTTCGTTTAAGGGAATCCGCAGGTTCATTCCCCAGTACTCGTCCAAAACATGAGGATGAAGCAGGCAAGCGTGATCAAAGTTAACAGGGATCCTTGTGTCAAATCAAGTAGATAGTCAGTCATACAATCTGTTGCCATTCCCAGCCAGCTTGGGTTTGGACATGTTCGATTTGATCATTAAAGCGCCAGCTCCTGAATGTTGAAGGGCATTGGGCCTGATGGGGATTTTATGTAAGCATCAAATCAGCATGCCTTCAACAACCATCTGGGTGAATTATAATAGTTCACCAGCCTGAAAGAAGGTGGTGGGCGATTCCCCACATAAACCACCATTTGGGGTGAATTCGGTCGTGTCAGGTCGTTGTAATTCACCCAGAACCATACTCCATTTGTCTCTACGTAGCTCGATGCTCTGTTGCCGCCGAGTCATAGACTCTCATAGACCTTGCGAGTCCTACCTGCAGGATGTGGCCATGAATTTAAATAAGGAACCCCCCGAACAGTGGTTGGTGGACATGAGTCACCAGCTCAATGATGTCCACCAAAGGGTCCCGAACTAAATTCATGGCCATGTATACTTACAGCCTCCGGAGGAATTCCTGTTCAGTTGAACTGGGCTTCGGTACTGAACAGGGGAGTCCAAACAACCTGACCTTTGGGATGCTCCGGATGGCGATGGTTTGCCGCCGTGGTGGGCCATTCATTTTCTATCAGGCAGGTTTCTAGGACATTGGGAAAATCAATCCATCCTGGAAAGCAATGATTCTTTCAATTGCGGAAACCCAATGCTCAATTTCATGGCGGTTCCCTTTTCTAGCAACCGTCCGCGAGACGAGCTCGCGTTCACTGGTGAGCTCGTTTCGCCCAGGTGACGAGTGATGCTCGTGAGGCAAAGAAGTGATGCGCCCCGCTTTCTTTAGTTCTTCCTTCTTTTTCTTTCTTTATTTCTTTTTTAAAACCTGATCCTTAGTTGTCATGCTTGTCTCAGAGGTTTTTTGGTTCTGTTTTTCCTTCTTGCTTCTTTCCCAAGCGGCTTCCGGCCTCCAAGTGTGCCATGCCGAGTGGAGAAACTCTAGACACTTGGCCAGGCCTGAAATGTGTCTGCTTCGTGATGTTGAAGAAGTATCACGCAGTAAACAAGCGCTGAACAAACAATAACTTGCGTGCAAGAGATTTGTCTCTTGAGAGAAGGTCGAAAAGGGTAAAGTGCATTGGAGTCACTTGTATCCACATCTTTGGGTCAAGCACAACACACACACACACACACAACTCTGCCCAGTCATTTTACCAAGCCATCGCGATTGCTCAGGGTGACATGGTTGGAGCTGTTGTATGTGCCTCAGCCTGCGGTCATCGCTCAGGCTCTATCTCAAGTTCCCCTATTGAACCTCGGCGCGAAGTCTGCATGTTTTCAAGGCACTTCCATCAGCCTGCAAGGATTCCTGCAACAATGTTTGAACCGACGGTGAGCCGATCATCAGTGCTCGAGTGATGTGGGACTCGCATCGCACATGGTTGGCAAGAAATCGGTATTCTGAAGAATCAAGGAGGGTCAAAACAGAGTAGGTGAATAAGAAAAGCCATCATGTTGGCCTTGCACGTTGTCAAATCGGTTGACACTCTATCACTGACTAACAGCGACTTCTTGAGAGAAAAGCTGTGATGCTTCCGCCGCGTTGACCTTTGCTGGCTGGAAGAAACCCGGCGAAGCCTCCAGCCTTCGGGCCAAACATTTCAGCAAAGAACAGGGTGGGGGGGTTCCGGGCTTACGCATTGTTGCATGAGGCGGGGGGGGGGGGGGAATTTTTGTTCAGTGGCATCCTTGTTAGGGGCTGATTTCACGGAAAATCATGGGGAGTGCCCCCCTTGTGACATGTTGAGGGGCTTTTCCATTTGGAGACATTCCACATAGGTGTAAGGAAGATTGGACAAGGCATGAGAACTGAAACTGCTTCAGAAGGCCCAGGCCCCTTCTCGTGCAGAATGATGGTCAAGAACAATGTCTACAAATACTTTATCTGGGAGGCACTTTCTGATTGAAAAACACATCACATCCAATCTCTTGCAAGCTCAAAAAACCCGACAGCTTCCAGCATGCCGCTTGAATTGTATGTGTAGATATATAATATATACATTGTATATATATATATATAGTTCTCCCTCATTGAATATCCATTCGTACATACAACACTGGACAGCTCGAACATAGCACACTGTCTAATTATGGATCTGGCTTCCTCGCTTGCCAAGAAAGGGGTCCAACATTTGGTTATAAATTCAACATTTGTGCAAGCCACTGTTTACGGCGAACGCAGCTTGCAATTTCCCAAAAGGAACCCTTCCTTTCTAGAGGTCACGCCCTCCTAATTTTAGTCTTGATTTTAGGCAGGGCCAAACAACCTCGCTGCGAATTCCACACACACTGAGGCACCTTTGGCCCTACAACCGACGCGACAAATGCCAAGCCCGCCATTTCTCGCTCGCTCGCTGCGATTCACTCGCCGGCTGGCCGGCTGTCGCCTGACATGGCGGACTGTCTCGCGACAGTCGCGGCTCAAAAATAGGGGGTTCGGTCCAAAATGGAACCCTGGTAAATGGGAAGGCAAACTAAAACCTGGGTAACCCCAGCAGTTTATTTGTGAGCCACACCCAGTTGATCATGAAAGTTCAAACCAATCGAAATGAACAAATCGATCAGGAACCCTGTGTCTATCAGGAACTTGCTCTTTTCACCATCTACACCCAGCCAACATTTGGCCTTATTCAATCTGCGACGCATGGCGCAGTCAGGCACAGTCACTGTGGATTTCCAGAGTTCCAAGGCGTCAAGGGTTTCTTTGTACCTGTATGATCCTGTGCAAGAAGCCTCATGTCATCCAGCACATAGATAAGAACTCATTTCATGTAGAAGCGCAAGAAGCACCTGCTATGCTTCATTTCATGTACCTGTATATGCTAGAACTCATTTGAGCATTGTTTTTTTTAGAGGTTCAGGGCTTATACACTGCTGGGGAGGCTACGCGGGGGGCTTCGCGGGGCCAGAATTTGTGGAAGGGTTGGCTTCGCGAGGCTTCGCGGCAAGACTGTGGCTTCGCGGAGTGGCTTCGCCGGGCTTCGCGGATGTTTGTTCCACAAACATCTCTCACATTTGCGCCCCCATGTTGTTGAATCAAGTTGAGTCCATGCGAAAGGGTTCGATGAAAGGCGGCAAGAGAGGCATTGAGCTTCAGGACTAGGGGACATGGCTGGGCCTCAAAGGGGCGGAGCATGAAAGTTGGACCGCGGTGGCTTCGCGGAGGCTTCGCGGGGGCTTCGCAAAGGCTTCGCGAAAACGTTCCATCGTTTCTAGCAAAACCGAGCCTGAAACGCACAGTGCTCTTCCGGTCGTCTTCCCGTAATCTTCCTGTAATCTTGTCGTAGCCTGCTGACTCTAAACATCAACCTTTGGAATACTACTGCCATGAAAGCGCACAACACACTTGCCATGAAAGCACGCAATACGCTCAAACGACGAAGTGGCTTCGCGAAGTGGCTTCGCCTGTGTCAATGTTACCGGGCTACGCGAAGTGGCTTCGCGGGGCTTCGCGGTACACAATGTATCGCACAAGTGCCTTCGCGGAGCTTTTTGGAGCGAAGCTAAAATCCATCATCTGAGAAAAAACGCGGCTCATTTAAGTCCATGCGCGCACCCGCCCAACCAATCACGCACGCACACTCGCCCTGCCCGCGAGCAGGCATGCATCATGCGGAGAGATTGTAGCAATCCCACTAACGTTAAACCTATATAGTGTGCTTGCCGGGATTGCCACCGTTCTGCCTTGACATCTATGTGGGGCCTACCACATCACTGTAGCATTGGCAAACTCGTGCGACTAGGCCGGCGTGGGATTGGAGGAACAGCTGAAAGAACCACCCGATTCGCTACATGCTTCCCATGCCATCAAATGTGCAAATCATGCAGGCCATGCACGCAATTGAGACCAAACAAGAATTGTTAGGTGCTCTGGATTTGGCTGCAAATGAGGGGATGTTCGAAGTTTGAAACATGTAATTTTCTCCCGTACGCTTCCATTCGATCTACCTTTAACACAACCTGAAGAATGGTACCCTACACAACCCATTTAAGCAGGGTTGTGGGAAATGACCACTTCTGTGATACAACAAAAAGGGCTTCGCAAAGACTAACACCCCATATACAGGGGCAGATTCCCTTGTATCACAGAAGTGGGACTAAACCCCTTGATTCCACAACCCATGTAAGCATTTGATTTGGACACGGCGCACCGGACTTTTACCTGTTTCTCTTCATCCGCTGGGGGCCGACTGGCCCATCCGACTTTCTACCAAGCGCGCGGGGACCTTCTCAATCACTGCCTTGGATCGCTGGCTCTTGTTGCTCCACGCACCCTCCAGGAAGGGACTGACAAGGGGTCCTCGCTCCTCTTACAAGTCGAAGACACCTCGCGAAAAGACATTCCTCTTGTTGCTCAACGCACCTTCCGGGTCCTTGGTCCTGATACAACCTGCAGAAGGAAAAAAAAGAGGAAACAAACAATTGCATACAATTGCCATCACCCATGGAGCGGGGGGTCGAAAACACCACACATGGGCTAAAGATTCCACCTCGCACAAGTTGTCCTTCAAGAAGCTTTGGATTCAAGGTGCTGAGGGCGAGCTCCAGTCCATGTGCAAGCGTCATTGAGTGGGTAACAGGTCTGCGGGAGAAAAGCAAAACACTAATTACGTGATCCGTCCCCAGGTTCTTCATTTTGGCGGACGCTATTGGGGTTATTTGGCAACAAGCAAGGTATTGCTGAGATGTACACGTCAGTGGACTGACGGCAACTTGGTATTTCAAGCAACAAGGGAACCCTGTTGGGATTCCACCAGGTTTTCTAGCCACATTCGGTCTTCAAATCCCTAAACAAACCCTGTGATTCCAAGATCTCTGTGGGGTGTGACTCGACAACGCCGGCAAGAGGCAACATTTGCTCATAGCTGCTTGTTTTGTTTCCAGTATGTCCAACTAAACTAGCTGGTGATGTCGTGCTGGCTGACTTGGTATCCTCACGTGAAACCGAACAGAGGGGGGAGCGGGAAACGAGCACTAAACCTTTCCGTGAATTAAATGGCTGTGGCTCAAATTTAAAGAGCTAGTGATACGCAGGTTTTAGTCTTTGGTTCCATTTACCAAGGTGCGATTTTGGTACATGTTCTTGAGCCACACCCAAATGGGTCGTTCCCCGTGGCTTGCTCTTCCGTGAATCTGTAGGAGCCGCTGGCCAAAGGCATGTCATGCCAATGCCACATGCGCGTGCGCGCGCGCGCCAGGCATGCCTGGTCGTCCGCCAGTCTGAGCTGGACAGCTTGGCTTGAGTGATTGATGGAGCACAAGTACCCTTCCTCCAACTAACAGGGATCCTCACATTATACACCTGAACATTGCCTTGCACATGGTGGTTTCCCTGTATTTTGGTGTTGAAAAGCCATGGTTCAAATGGGCGAAAAGTGACTAAACTTCCTCCAACTCACATGGCACCTCTGGGAAGGTACCCGGAAGATTAATTTCCTTTTGAAGGGAGCTCATGTCAGTTGCCATGTTAGTTGGAGGGAGGGTATTCATTCAGGGTCCAGCCACGGGAACAGCACTTAAGCACACAACTATTGCTCCACCTTTTCCGGTCCTTGTCAGACAAAAAGGCCTTTTGACACCTTCATGCTTGCCACGACCACGCACCCTGCACTTCTTTCCGCCGCGGATTCCCACCGCGCTGCCTGTTTTGCGCTCGGCGCAGGCCGTGTCTCAGCGCGGCCGACGTGCGCTACATCTGAAGCAGTCGTCCCGGCGCGCAAAGTTGTTGCAGTCACACTTCTCGCAGACCCAGTCCTAAGCAAAGTCTGGACAATGTGGGGCAAGGGAGCAGATCAGGGCAACGGGATGCCCTCAGCTCGTGATTTGCGGTAAGAAGCAAAACACACTTTGCGAGGCCCAAAGGATGGAAACCGCTTCTACGGCCAGGGTCAAGAAAAGTAGACCTTGGCAACCCTCCAGCGACTGGGTCAACCCAATTATTGGGAAAGGTTTGCGCTTGCGTTCGCAGACATGAAAGCTTGCCTAAACCGCCTATTGGTAAAATTAAGGTTCTCCAAGTGATCCAAGCCAACCAGACCCTGTGACCTTGAAAGGTTACCCAAAACATCAGCATTTGAGTCGCTTGCTCAAAACCCGGTAGAAAAATGGCCTACCCAGAACCTTGTAAAGACTTCAGAAGGCGGATATCCGCAAAATATTCTAGCTTGGACTGCCCCTTGCTAACCTTCACCTACCTGTTTTGAGCACGTGGCTCATTTGCCTTGCGAGAAACCAAGGGCTGCCTTCCAAGGCACTCCTCCCCAATTGCCGCTCGCCCTGGCGCAACGGCTGCAGCTCAAATTGGCGGCCGGGGGGGAGGGGGGGCACTGACAGGTTAGGCTGCGTGGAACCCTGATCAAGCTGGAACTTGGAGAGTCACCTGATCTTCCCCCCGCCCCCTCCCCCACCCACCCACCCACCCACCCACCCACCCACCCACCCACCCACCCACCCACCCACCCACCCACCCACCCACCCACCCACCCACCCACCCACCCACCCTATGTTCACAAACTGGGTTTGATGAGTAGGTCCTCCAGTGGAGAGGTTAGAATGAGGGTACCAACCTTTTTCTGTAGTCTATTTTCGTAGGGGAACCCTCCCAACCAAAAAAGGGTAAAAAGGCACTACTGGGGGACCTAGCATACCTTTGGCAACCCAGCACGGGCCAGTGTCTCTCCTGTATTCTGGCAGGTTCATCTGTCTTCAGGCCGCCGCTGCACCAAAACTTGGTTGACGTTGGAAGGGGAGCAACAATTTAAATGTTAGCGGACAAGTGGGGATTTCCCACTAAACCACAATAAAATATGTAAAATGTTTCCCAACAACAACGGAGAAAAGGACACTTTTGGGGAAGCCTATAGATGAGTATGGGCTCAACTAACTCTATCACACAGATCCTTACATTATACACATTGCCTTGTACATGGTGGTTTCCCTGTATTTTGGTGTTAAAAAAGCAACATGGTTCAAATGGTGGCAAGATGAATTTCTTTTCAGGAGCCCTGTATCACCTAAGCCGAAAATCCAAATCCCCCGCCTGCCGCCGGGCCCGAAGGCGCGAGGGCTGTGGCTCCGGCTCCGGCGGTCGTACCTGCGATGGGGGCGGAAGGCTCAGCTGGACGGACAAGATCCAAATCCCGCACCAACTAAGAGGCCCGGAATGAGGGATTCCCCTATAAATTGCCAAAGAACAATGGTTTCCCATGGTTTCCAGTGGTGCGGGATTCTGCCCATCCACAGTAGGGAATGTGGGAATGAACCTGGGGATTCCCGGGAAGAAAGCAAACCAGTTGGATGGTTTATAGGGGTCATTCCATGTCTCATTCCCTGCTGAGCACCAGAAGTTTTCATGTGAGCCGTAAACTCTTTTGGTTCCTCTCAAGGCAATAACGCATTGGACAAATAGTAATGATTGCAATCAGCATGTCCTTGGATACCCGCTGTGTGCGGAATATCTGCCTACAAGTCGCTTGCAAGAAGCCTAAATGTTGTTCATCTGCCACAGTCACCCAGATTCACCTGCACACAGCGCACATCCTGCATAGATTAAACACAAACCAGCCCTGGGGCGTCACAACAAGTGCGGTTGCAAAAGTATGCTTCTTTGTGACATGTTGGAAGAAATATGGCGGGTGCAACCCTCTGACATGTCCTGAAAGCCCCGCGAAAGCCGTTGATTGCCTTTGTTGGGACCAGGGCATTCTTTTGAATAGGGACAGTAAGTCAGGTCCTTCGCAAGAAGTCTGGCCCGGCTCAATTCCACACCGAGCCCACGTAGCACTGCACATTGCACACATCATATTAACAACGCATGTGCCATGGCCAAACTCACAATTGATCTTTCAAAACAAACCCTTACAAATTATGAAGATGATACAACACCCCGGGAAACCAGGCGATACTGCGTTGAGCAAGGCAAGTATAAGGAATAGTAAGTTTGTGATTGTTCAGACTTCCTGAGTACCTGACATCAATTTCTCGACTTATGATACTTCTGCACTGCAAATATTTTCTTGAAACACAGCTTGACTAAAGGCACCTTGATTCTTCTTGGCCTCGGAGCTTTTGTTTCCAAATCCTGCACTAGACACTGCCCGATTTGTCAGAAGCTGAGCAAACGCCATCCAACGACTTGCACACCTCCATGCCCTTTTCATGAATAGCTCAAGTACCCATCGACCCCATGCGAACGACTTAAACCACTTACTTGTTTTTTTTCGGCTCTGAACGCCAGGCTTCGGATTACGAAGAAACTCACCTCCTGCTCCCCCCGTCCAGGCCCAGGCATCCCCGGAATTTCACGGTCCGGCCCCAGCCTCCCTCCTCGACGGTCACGGTCATCGCGCCTGGCGCAAGTTGCATGCTTCATGCTCTCACGTCTTTGACCACTCCGTAAGGGCCCTCCCCAGTTCTATTGTGCACGCTTCCCTGGGATCATCTTTGTATGTGGCAAGCTGTCAACGCACTATACCATTTCCTTGTGCAGTGCCACCCATTAGTTGCCCTACAAACAAAGAGCTGGTTTTCTTGAGGCCATGGATTGACAACTCAAATCCTATGCTACAATGTAAGTCAAACCTTCCAGTACATGTTGTCTTCGCGCCTTCTGCTACGATCTCTGCCATTGCTGCGAGGGCGACGATCATAATCACGGGACCTGCGGCCGCGCCGTGGATCATGGCGCTGGCACTGGCGTTTGATCAGGCGTCTTTGAAGAGTGGTCGGAGTTTCCTCAGGCATCATCTTCCCGATTTTGTGGGCTGTCCTCAAATCCGCTGAAGTTTTACGTACTTTTAGTGGCTTGAATGGAAACTACCACGAAATGTCCCGAACATCTAAAGCACGACGGGGATGGCTAACCACCAAGGGAACTGTTGAAGCCCAAATGGCCATGCCCCCAACGGATGAAAAGGACACACTCTTTCTCGCCGAGGTCGCCCCATCGGATCGGCCACGAGGATCTGTGTTTGTCCCTCCCGCGAGTGCACAAAGGCTGCGGCGGAACAACGGATCTCCCAAAATGGTCCGGTAAGCTGCCATGGTTGACAAAGGTTAAACTTGGAAGCTAGCAAATACGTTGCTAGAAATAAAAGGTGGATCTTTTGTTTTGGGACGGGGACCGAAAACGGAAAACTCAAAGGGCAAAAGCTCAGCATTGAACAACTGATCATGAGCCAGGGTCGAGAAGGGACCATTACCTGCAGCGGTTTTGACCTGGTTGGATAGGCAATGAGTCCGAGTGACCCACTGAACCATCCAAGTGGTTTCCTTGGGGATCGCCATCGGTTCACACCTGCAGAACAACTCTCCCCTGTTTTTGTCTTCGGCGCAGATGGTCAAGTGACTCCCGCGCCTGTCTCTCCTGGACCGTTCTCGTCGATCATCCCTGACGCGTACCCACAGTACCCAGGATCAGCGTCTGGCCAACGACAACCGGCCACCCTGGACCTTTCTTAGCTGCTGGTTGCCCAAAGAGAAAAACACAAACACTGGCTTGGTTGCTCACTTCCAGTGAAAACAATGGCCACCTCACAAGTCAGGGGTCTGGTCCTTTTGCACACCAACGCGCCGGTGACGCTATTCGGCATTTGAGGCTGCTACAGCACACTCTGTCAAAGTGCAGCAGTGCAAGGAGCAATGACAGTCATATAGCGGCTTGTTCAATATCAAATGGATTCCCCGAGGGACCTGTTCGCAACTCTTCTGATTAAAGCTGCTTCATGCGAAGCTCATGCGGGGTACGTGCAAGGCGAGGCATAACATTGCCCCTTACACCGCTGGCCTGCCGCGACTGTCACGTTTTTCCTCAGTCGCAGCACACAAAGGTTTAACAAATGTCATATTCTTTCGATACCTGACGGAGATTTATGCGATAGGCCTGCACGCCTCTCAACATAGGATCAATGATGACACGGGTCTCTACAACATGCACTGTCGAATCGGGCAGCTCGGCACATCTATCACACTGAATCCAGATTCTATCTACTCCTTACATTCCAGTTTGTTCGCCTCCGTCTGCCGAACAGCTGCATTTTTCCTTGGCATGACTAGAGCGCAGCCAAGCAGCACGGTCCGGGCCTTTGCCTGAGCAGGAATATCAGCACCACTCCATGTCACCAAGCCATCCACTGCAGACCACCCAGAGATGGAGAGCCAGTGCCACATGTGCCACGGCTGCCATCCACCACATCGCCCACCACTGCATGGCCATGAGCCATCGCCAACCACGGCCATCCCACATCCACGGCATGCCCACTCCCAGATTGCCAACCACCACCTCACGCCCACGGCCGAACCAACTCTCACGCGAACAACATTTGGCCATGGGTCAAAAGCCCGTCCCCAGTGAACATCCCAATCCAACCACTAAAATAGGTCCTAAAGTGGGTGGTGAACCTACCTCAAAATGCTACCATTGGCTTTGACCCACAGCCATTTTTGACAAACATACAGCGCGCGCCTCGGTCCCGGCTGTCCTTCGCCCTCCTTGGACTCTCACGCCTTCCAACGAGGTTTTGCCAAGCCCACAGGTCTGAGAAAACGCCACCTGCCCGCACCCGCCTGCGGCTGCTTGGCCGACGCTCCCGGCTTTCATTCCGATCACCTCATTGATCCGATTGATCCGTCCAATCTGACGGAAGGCCCGGAAACTGGCACCATGATCAGCCATACACATGGGAGACTTCTCGAAGATGCGCTTCTTCCAACGGTCAGACACATATCCAATCTCTTGGCTAAACATTTGTTTTGTTCTTTCGTGCTGGCGACTGCGAAAGAACAACGCACTGGTATCTAGCCACCTCGCAACGTGAAAGATTGTTTGCAAATTATAGAAATGGCTGTGGCTCAATAAGCTCAGGTGATATCCCCAACAGCATGCGGTGCTCTTTTAGTGCTCGCACCACCCCGCAGCCCTCGCAGAACCTCGCAGAACCCTGGTGGAACCCTGGTGGAACCCTGGTGGAACCCTGGTGGAACCCTGGTGGAACCCTGGTGGAACCCTGCTGGAAACCTGGTGGAACCCTGGTGGAACCCTCGTGGAACCTTGCCTAGGGCCGCCCCGGACCACCCCGGAGCCTATCTGGGCTGAGACCCCAAAGCTTTCAGCTGTTGGGGAAAAAAAAGGTACCAAAATGGAACCCTGGTAAGTGGAAACATGGACCAAAACCTGCGTAACCCCTCCTGTTTAAGTTTGAGCCACAGCCAAATAACAGTTGATGGGCAAGTTGTCCTGCCCATTAGACTGAACCGCCGGATGCCATTGTTGCTATTCAAGCGCTAAGACTCAAGGCCGGCCCTTTTTGTGGGCACACTTGCAACCACGGCTGCATTGGCATTTTTGGGCTAGACACCTCCATGCACCGGCCAAAATAGGCTCATATCATATCTTGGGATCTTGGGCGAGACACCACCATGCACCGGCAAGAACAGGCTCATATCAAACAGCAAGAAAAGAAAGGGCCTGTCTCGAAGTAGGTGTCCTCATCCCGTGTTAACTGTTCAAAATGGAGGGTTGGCCAATCCTAATCCATAATCCCGAAAGAGGAAAGCCACTACACAGGAAACCCCTTGCGTAACCCAAGGCAAGGATCGAGGATTCTCTTTGACCACCGGCTGTGCCAACCAAAAAACCCGGCATTTTCCAAAAATGGCTTGCCCCCATCGGTCAGTGGAAACATGGGTAAGCCCAAAATTTCTGCGGGTTGGGTTTGCCCCTCCATCGTTTCATTTTGAGCGAGAACCACACCCATTTGGGTGGGGATCAGAGGGTCCACGAATCACTTCTGAGGGGTTACCAAACCAGCCAGCCCCTGCTGATTCGCTCGGCCGCCCTTCCCTTCAGCCCCTTCGATCAGCGGCTCGCTCCGGGTTCGCAAGCTCAGGCCCCGGGCTGCGTGGCATCTTGTTTGCACGAGCTGCGCGGCGAGGAATGTCCGAGCTCCTCAGCCGGGGATTTACGGGGTTTGATATTGAGCCTGAGTTCTTCAGTGACCCTGGAAAAAAAAAAAGATTGGGACCCCCCAACTTGGGGAAGACCATTTTATGGGAGCCACCAAGAAAAGGGGAAAGAGAATTGGTGCCACTGAACAACTGAGTTAAAGCTGCGGCCTCTCCCGGAACCCACGGAATCAAGGCGCACGCACCACAAACAGTGTGCAAACTGATATGTACCTTTGAACTCAGCTTGCACCATTGACATGGATCGAGTTTGCAGCTTGATTGTTTCTTGACCTCGATGAGTTCACTCATTCAATCACGATGAGCTTCCAGAGTTTGCATGCACAGCAGCTATATGACAAATCTATTTAAATAATATTGATTGCCGGTTTTGCCGAAAGCGTAAGCCCCTTTTGCAAACCGTGCTGCCAAGCAGCCGGCGCTGTGGGGCGATCGCTTTGGTGCAAAGGCAAACCAGTTTTGAGCCCAAGTGGCACTGGCAATTGGCAAGTCAACCCAATGCAAGCAATGCACACATCTCCTTGGCTTGACACTACAGTGTGTCAAATCTAGGAGCGGGCAAGCAGTGCTTCAGTGTGCACGATACTTGCCTTCATCGAAACCAATTCCTGCCTCGAATCTTACGGGCATCAAGAAACATCAAGAAACCATTGCGAACACAGCAAATGAACCAACTTCAACCCCGTGGTTTGACTCAACTGCAAAAGCCAACAGCATCGTGGGTTTGCCTAAATTGTAGCACACCCGAAATGGGTTTTCCCTTTGATTTCCCTGTAAAACTCACAGGGTGCCTCCAAAACAGGGTACCATGTCCAAGGGCCGGAAAGTTCACTTGAAATCCAGAGCGTTGCCGCCGATTGCTGCCTTTTCAAGCGAACTCCATTTGGAGCATGGCACAGAAAATTGGTGCCCTAGGATCGTTTTTTTTGCAAAGCCCTGGCTCGGCGAATGCCAAAAGAAAGGGTTCAACACCGCAACTCATCCTTGCAACTTACAAAGGCCCCCGTCTTTAATTAGCGCCTTCACGATCCTTAGGGCAGCACGAAAATCGGACTGACACGACTCCAAGCGTCGCAGCTACGAGCTCACGTCGTCAAGTCCCATCTGCTGAGGTGCCAAATGGGCTCACTTGCAAAGCCGCAAAGCTTGGGGCTTCAATCAATCCAGAATGCCAGGAGCCATGATCCTAACATGATGCTGAATTCAACCTAGCTGTACAAATGATGAAAAACCAGCATAATTATCCAAGCGTGCAACAAGACGTGAACGGACAGCCTGAGACTTTTAAATTTAATTTTATCCGTTGTCAGGGCCAAACCAAACTGCATGGTATTCAGACGTATGTCTGACACTCAAGCTATTCCGATGTCTCATCAGCAGCTTCAACCGCCTCCCAAACCAATCAGGCTCGGAATCTGGAAGAAAGGGGTGCCAATGCCGTATACTGTGCATTTCAGTGGATAATACGGCTTGTCTGAGGCCGCATCTACTTCACAACTTGAATTGCAGGCGCCCCCGCCCTGCTACTTCCAACCTATTCATCACACAAGCATCAGCAGCTCATGCAGAAAGCGAAACAGCAGTAAAGGTGTATATATATATTATCATATATATATATATTAGAGCGAATGGAGCAAACAGTAGAATGTCTCACAGCTGCTCATCTGTCAACATTCAAAAGCAATGATTAGCATGTCCTACTTCTCATTGTGGATGGCCGAAACAGTTGGTAGAAATATGGCCTACTAGGATATCACCTCGGAGGATCAGAATGATGGTTGGTGCATCTTCCCGTACGAAGGCAAACCAACACGAAGTAGGCTCTTGCTTCACGTCAATGTGAAGCTTCTAACACTATGCCTATGCATGCAAGATGTTTGGGCCATGTTGTGTGCGTGTGCGCGTCACGTTACAAATAAAACAAGATGAATAAAATAACACAAAATGCGGACCAATGTGGTTCCCAAAATGCATGCAAATAAACGGTCGCCAGAAGCAGTTGATGGCAGAGTGCCAATACGTTCGCTTACTTAAGAAGAAGCCGCTGCTCACCAAATCATGGTTTGGCCAATGAGGCCCTCAGGGCAGGTCAAACCGCCAACCAACAGTGCCAGCTAGCCTTTGTAGGCTTCTTGCAGCAAGCGCTCGTCCTCCAGGCCATCATCCTGCGCGCCATCACGAGAATGGGTGCTGCATGTCTCTGAAGAAAGCCATGTTCAACTGCAAAATCCTGTGGGGGTTGTTCAATATTCCAGGCCCCAAAATGACCATGACTAACTTTTAGCATTTAGTGGTGAAACCCATCTGCTTTGGTGGGTTCCCCCAATGGTCAGCCATGTCAATGAGCTTTTGATCACCCCCCCCTGCCACTTGCCCCGACCGGACGCTGCCGTCACGGCCATCTCATACCACCATGACTGCACAGGGGCCGAGAAGCAAATTAGGGTGAACATGATGATACTGATGATGATGATGATGACGATGATGCTGACGATGACGATGACGATAACGATGATGACGATGATGACGATGATGACGATGATGACGATGATGACGATGATGAGGAGGATGAGGATGACAATGACGATGACGATGATGATGACAATGACGATGACGATGACGATGCCGATGCCGATGATGATGATGAGGAGGAGCAGGAGGAGGATCTGGATGCTGACCATGACAATGATGACGATGACGATGATGATGAGGATGCTGACGAATACTATGATGATGATGACGATGATGACGATGATGATGGTTGTGAATGATGACGACGACGATGATGATGACGATGACGACGATGATGATGATGATGAATGATGATGATGATGATGATGATGATGATGATGATGATGATGATGAGGAGGAGGAGGAGGAGGATGACGACGACGATGATGACGATGATGGTGATGGTGGTTTGGACGAAATCGAGCAGGTGACATTGCAGGCACCAGGCGTTCCATGACAGTTCAACTCATCATTTCACAGCACCGCGAACTTGACGGGCTGAACTCCAGCTCGCACCAATCTGAAGCAAGACCGTCATTCAAGGTAGACTGTGTCTCAGAGGCCCAGTGGCGGAAAAAAGGGCATCCTTTTTTGTTTGGTTGACTTTAAAGGGGAAAGGCAAAAAGGGTACCACTGGGCAACTGGGGTGTTATGTGTTTGGCAAAGCGAAGGGGCAGAACGTCGAGTCACAGCCTTTCGAACGTCTCGCCAGACTCCTCCACGTCACTGGCCTTTGATCCAGGCGGCTCCTGCGCGGCTCCGAGTCATTGACGGCATCCGGATTTCGTGTTCGGAGGTATTCCCCAGAAAGGCCGCGGCCCTACACGGTTCTGGGCATCGTCTTGCCGAGCTGTGGAGACTAACTTTACTTTTCTTGCAATGCTTTCTGAACGAAGGAAAACAAATAAACTGGCTTGTCCCAGCCTTTCAACAGCGAAGAGTTTGGGTTGAAACCAGCACTGCACTCCCAGCCGAAAGCAGGTGACCAGCGTGGTTCAGTCTCTGAGGTGTAGCCAGCTTATAGAAAGTAAGAGAGGCAGCATGTGGCTTGCTGTTGACTCGGGAAAAAGTTTAACTTGCTGTGGGTTGTGGAAAACCCCTTGATTTCGCGAAAAGTTAAAGTCTAAAAGATCCAACCCAATAACAGTCAAGGTTGGATGTGTGTTGCTCCAATGTCCTTTTGAGAAGCTTTGCCGTGTATGCCCATCGCGATGTTGCTGATGGTTAGGTTGTCAACACAAAGTTCGACGCTCGACAGCTGACAAGTCATTATCTCCACCAGGTCTGATAGTACCCCGCCATTTGCTGATTCATGTCAGTCCCACCCAAGAAAACAACACAGACACCATCTGCTTCTGGTTCTACCAAAATGGTCACAAAGGTTACACAGGCCCCACTCAAATCCCCATTCCACCAGGTGCTGGAAAGACTAGATCGACCTCTCAAGCGCTTGCTCGCTGCGCATGCCGGCCTTGGCCCGTGTCGCACCAAAGTTCGGCGTCGCCACCTGCGCAGGGCTCGCACGGGCTCTCGGTTTTTCCGAAACGTGCCGTGACGGCTAGAGCAGTGTGCGTGGCGCCCTGAGTATATAGGCTTCCATGCGTACGAAACAACAGACCCTTCAATACATAATTATGATTAATTTACTTGGTTTGAATCCAATTCTGCTCATGTATCAAACCGCTCTTGGGGGTCCAACCAAAAAAACAAAATGCCACACCCAGTTGCTTGAAACCAGCCATTTTCCCGAGCCAAAGCTGCCGTGCAGAAGGCCGCAGCCTTTGCAGCACGGTTCTTCCAAAGGCCGCCGTAGCGGTAGTGGGGATGCCTTGCGCACTCTGATCGAAACCAAACATATTTTGTGCTCCATGTGTTTTACTGACTGACTGGAGAGGCGGGAACAGATCCACAGTGAAGTCCCCTCCATCCCCTACTTTGCGCTGCGACCATTCTATCTCCGAGTGGCGAACAACTCACTGGGAGAGGCGGGAAAGGACCCACAGCGAAGCCTCCTCAATCCTCCATAACAGTATGTCGTTGTTTGGTTGCTACCCCAATGTGGGTGTTTTGAAGGGACATACAACACGGACAAGGGAGGTCCCCTCAGAAAGACACCGATGGAGCCCCTCCCTCCGCGCCGAGCGGCTCCGCGTCGCCGTCAGGCACCCCTCCAGATGCATCCCGCCAGCACCGCCCACAAAGCCTGCGCCAGAACGCGTCTGACTCATGGCCTTGGCAAAGGATTGTGCGGATCTATGTCCATACGAGTTGGGATGGTTGGATGATCTCTTACTTACAGTGCATTACATCTTTTCGGATCTTGGGAGATCGCGCTTCATGCTTTGCTGGAAGGACGGTTCACGACCGAGCAGATGCCCGAAAGCCCGAAAGCCCGAGCACCACCGCGCCGCTCGGAGAAGAAAACAAAAATCCGCTGGGCGGACATGTGCCACTTCTGCGAGATGTCCATCTGACAGCGCACCAGCCTTGGATCTGCTTTCAAAAAACAGGGATCCGGATGCATGAAAAACACCGATCGAAAAAATATCAACTTGTAAAGGGGGGGTGTCCAACTTTACTTTGCTGGAAAAAACAACGCACCATGTTTCATATGGTTGCAAAATGGAGATCTTTTAAGGAGCCCTGCAAAAAGGTGAAGATAAAAGCACTCTTCTCTGGGGGGTCTGAAACAAAGTACCACACATACATGGCTGTGGGCCAAAACCAATGGGATACCATTTTGGTTGGTAGATGCACCACGCATTTTAGAACCTATTTTAGTGGGGATTGGGATGCTCACTGGGGGTGGCCATATGTCCCATGACGATGTTTTTCGAAAGACCAAACGATAACATGTTGTTCTTGTCAACGACGTTCCTCGTCAACTCCACCATCTTGTTGTCTTCAGCACTTTCCGAAGACTGGATACTCTGCTCTTTACCCACACGTGGTGCTTCCTTTGGGCGTGACTTTTTTGAGGGTACCCCTTCTTCGTTGTTGCAAAAAGCGCCACCAAAAGGAAACCACCATTTTGAGGGGGTCCTATGAAACAGGAACCGGCCCTCGCTTTCACCGGACCGGCGGGAATGAAGGATCTCTGGCATCTGCGGCCATAGGTGACCAAACGGACAAACAAGATGGCCCTGGTAAATGGAACATGAATCTAAACCAGTGGAGCCCATCTGGTCATGGGTCAAAAGCCCGATTAGCCCCCAGTGAACATCCCAATCCTCACTAACACTAAAATGGGTGGTGCACCTACCCCAAAATGGTACCATTGGTTCTGACCCACAGCCATCCATTTCGAAACAAACCGATCAAGGACACCGGTGTCTGTGGCCCTGGCAAGTCCACCCTGCGAGTGCACAGGCTGCACGGCTTCCGCTTGGCAGCGGCTTTCTCCTGAATTCGAATTCGGTCACAGCTCCTGCCCTGTGATTTGGATTGAGGTTTGGAGGCTATGGGGTAGCTTCCCATGTACCAGCGTCTCAAATCCAAAAAGCCACCAATCAATCCAAGGGTCAACCACTTGGTTTCAGAAACTCCGTGCCTGGATTCCAGTAGAGGTAGCCAAGGGCTAACCCCTTCCTATCCATGTTGACAGGAAGGATATTAGCAGGAAAGCAATCAGTCAACAAATCAATTGGCTGCACTTAGGACAACTTGCCAAGTTCTGCAGACCTAGCGCATTTGGGGTTGATTCAGATTAGCATCTCGGTCAAACCGTCAAATGGCAACCCCAGGATGCCCAGCATAAGCAGCAAATAGCAGCAGTTTTGAAACACTTGCAATCAGCCTCATTAAGCAACACCATTGAATCGCGGCACTTCGGGCTTCCTTACAAGGATTCATCGTTGCTTGAAGACCAAGCAAGCTTCACGTGCATACCCGACAAGCCATACCCGACATGTCCCCAAACATGACAACACAAAAGAACGCGCTGTCACGGATTCGTTCACCTCCGGAGACTGTGCTCGACGTGCACGCCGTTCAGCCTGACATGACGCTCAACTTGAGATGATGCTTCGCTAGCATTGAGGTGACCTGATGATTGACCTCCAGAAGTGTCATGGGAAATAACCAGTTGGGTATGGGGCAATACTGAACCAGGGAACCACAGACCCATTGGTTGACCCATAATTACCCATTTCACACCCGGGAAAAAAAAAAAAAAAAAAAAAAAAAAAAAAAAAACAATTAGCAATAACTGCCTTGCCTTGAGCGCCGCCTTTCGCTGCTTCCGCGCTGTCCGTGCCTGAGTCGAGCTGAGGCAAAGCCGGCCAAGTGCCGACCACTGCTGGAAAAACCGGCAAATAGAGCCGTCCTAAAAGCACCGATCAATTCCTCCGCGCTAACGTAGCTCACGATCGTCTCCATTTCTGGTCTTGGAAGCGCGCCCCTGAAGCGTATGAGAGGGCGGGGTGAACGAACAGGCTGTGACTCCGCGCTGTCAAATTGCCTCTTGTTGGGTAGAAACTCGGCCATGGGTGCCATGGGATGGAGTTGGCTACGAAACTGTACAGCAAGCAGTCTCAAACTCCAAATTCCCACCAGCAAGGTCCTCCAGTAGAGAGGTCAGAATAAGGGTACCCTTTTCTCAGTAGTCTATTTTAGGATCTGGGTCGCCTGCATCCGGCTCGGACTCATCTTGCGACTCCTGCAAACAAGCCAGGCAGACAATGATAGAATGGACGCATGCTTGGATGTAGGGGATATGGATCCATGCGGTCGATATGTTGATAGTCATCATCCAAAGAAAGTTGCTGTAGCACAGAGATAGTAGCTGCAGCTGCACAATTGCATTGATTCTGCCAACACGCGAAGATTGTGTTTGCTTTCTATTCTGCTCGAGCCGGCAGTGATGAAAGAATTGTTCCCCAGGTCCCAGACTAACTAGGTCCTCCAGTAGAGAGGTTGGAATAAGGGTACCCTTTGTTCTGTAGTCTATTTTAGTAGGGGCTTGCCCTCCCAACCAAAAAAGAACGGTAACAGGGCACTACTGGGAGACCTAGCTAAGCATTGGAACAAGGAGACAGTGTTGGAACATGCCCGAAATTTGTCGGCCCATTGGTCTCCTCCGTGTCGGCACCCGGATTTTCTTCCGCCTCGCAGGGGCTAGCGCTGGGTATTCTGTTGGCAATGTCCGGCTGTCGAGGAAATGGTTGAGTCAACAAGAGTTGGGTACGGGTCAAAAGTAAACCACCACAAAACCACGGGTTTTGGTCCTTGGTTCCATTTACCAGGGCTGAATTTGGGATACTTATTTTTGACCCACAGCCAGTTGTTGAATCCAGGCTGTGGGCAATGAGTCTGGCGAAGTCATCCGTCAATCCATCGACTGTCACTGGTCTGGCATACAAAGTGCGCACAAATGCCACAGGCGCACTTTTCTAACTCCGACTGGCAGTTTTGAAAACTGGAACAACCAGCCGAATGGCAGCCTTTTCAAGGCGACCCATTCGAACAAGTCAAAATGTTCGCCAAACCAAACAGCTATCTGCTCAAAGTGCACCAAGAAAGCTCAACGCTCGAAACAAAGAACGGCTCTCCCGAGCTTGGTGGGGCCATTGGCTTGTCGCACCTACACGACAAGCCTAAACGGCAGCCGCTGATTGTTGTTATTTTTCGGAGGTTACCTTCCATTTGCATTTGCGCCCCCTGGAAAAAAATGAATTTATATCCAGTAGTGATCCATTCCCTTGAAAACCAACAGAGGAAAATTAAAAAAGGTTCTTAAACACATGGGATCCTTTTTCTTTTTCGGAGGTTGCCCTTTTCAGGTTGGCTCGCAGGGAAACCAAAAGGAGACCCCCCCCCATTTGCCCCCGACTTCCGACTTCGGCTCTCAGAGCTCTCCGGAGCTGAACGACTTGGGCTTCTTCAGCGTGAGCAGCGACGCTGCCGCCCCAGTGATCTCAAACGTCAGCGACCCGGCAAGCGGCCGACCGGCGGAATTGGTTTGGTGTTGGTGGGGGCCCGTCTGGCAGATTGGATACTGATCAAAACTCTGACAGTTTGGTTTGGTTCGTGTCTGCTCATATGGCCCCTTGAAATCTCAGTTCGAATGGGAGTCTCGGGCGTTCGGCCTCAATATGGAGAGAAAAATATAGCCAAGAATGGTTTGGTTGCCGTACTTGGTCAATTCTGCAGCTTCCAGCAAGCTCCCGGTCTTCTGCATGGCGCTGCGACGCGACAACATGCAACAACACTAATTCGACAACTCTCAGCAACTCTCCAAAAAAGAAAGGCAAGCAAAAGCTGGGACCTGGCAGCTTCCATCATTTGTCTAGAACCCAGGCTCTAAAGTGCGAAGCAATCTCAATCAAGGGATAACTTGGGGTCGTTCCATTGATTCATCACAAGCATCCAAGGCCATCACTAGTCAGCTTCCTGGAAATCCGAAACTGTTGGCTATGTGCTGAAGGGGTCCGGGACCCCACCAAAACAAATGCGCGGCTTCCTCTGGTTTCCGCCAAGGGGTACCCCCCAACCATAGGTGGCCGTTTGGAGAAATAGATGGGCCTGACAAATGGAGAGAAAAAAACAAAAAAAAGCATCTGAACCAGTGCCATGTATTTTTGACCAAGCTAAGCCCAAAAGGACACCTACCCCCCAACTTGTGCGGGCTGCTTCATAGGTGCCGTTCTCTTTCTTCATGCCCTTCTCCGCCAGCTTCTTCGTGAAGGTCGAGCCTTTTGCTTTTTCTCATGCGCGCAGGGTGGTGTGGGCCATGGCTGTGGTTGAAATGGAATCCACTTCTGTGATACAACAGAGAGAGCTTCCCAAAGAATTGCGTATGCAATGTTTATTATTTAGCCCCTGTTTATGAAAACTTGGGGGTGGGGGCGCCTCCAAAAGTGGTCTGAATCCCCCACTAAACCCAGGATCGGACACCCCATATTAGTAAACCGGGGGGTTTTAATCCGGGGTCAACATTATTGGCGTGGATAGACCAACTCCCTGCGCCAAGGCAGGTGGTTAACCCCAGTATTCATAGGGTTTCATCCATCCCAACTAGCAAGAAATAGTCCGTCAGGAATGGAAACCCTCGCATCCCTCGCTTCACGGTGATGCTCTTACGAGGCGACACCAAAATTGCCGTGTTCAAGGTTGAGTCTGATTGGAAGCCTCAGTTGTCCCCAGCAAACTCGTGAAGAAGCAGACATGGCGGCCTAATTTCAACGTGGGCAAGCCACAGAAACCGCAATGAAAAAAAACAAAACACATCGAGCAGCGTAGGACCGCGCCCATCCGCGACAAAAATGACCAATAACAAACACTCACCCCAAGCGAGACATCTTCTTTGCATTCGGCTGAGCAAGCAAAAGAAAGGAAGCAGGCAGAACATCTCAAAAATCTGCCAACAGCCCAAGCAGGCGGGATGAGGTGGGATGATAGTCATTCTCTGAACAACCCTTTCAAAGCAAAACGGACACACGCAGCTTGACCTTTTGATGAGTATCTTGGACACAGGCAAACCTCCTCCTGGACAATCCACGAAACCTCCAACATACCTTTTCCCTGAAATTAACTGGGGTTCTTGCTCAAAAGCTATGCTGGCGGGAGGGCCTGACCCCTTCTTTAACTCACTTCCTGAATGGATTGGCCAAAGACAAGTCGAAGCCTTCTTACTTGGCACTAAACAAATCCCAAAAAGTCTCAAGTCCATGAACCCGGGGAGTGAGCTGAATTTGTCTTGCACCTCAACTGAAACCAACTCCTTCGGTTGCCATAAACGGGATCCAAAATTTCCGGGTCCACCCGTCCCCCAATTCGATTTTTGAAGGTGAGGATCCTTTTTCCCCACCGAGGCCGCGGCAGAACTGCTCCCGGGCGCCAGCCTTGCCTCACGACTTTGCTTCTGTGCTTTTCTTTTTTGTTAGGCACTCGAAATGGACATCATTTGGCTGTGGCTCAAAAAACCGGAATTCCAAAATGGCTTGCCCTGGTAAGTAGAAACATGGACCAAAACCTGCGGTTTGCCTCTCCTGGTTAATTTTGAGCCACACCCATTTGAGTGGGGATCAGAGGGTCCACCAGCTATGTGTATCTTGCACTGCCCCTGTGCTGAAAAACCATCCAACATGATCAACGCCATGACTCAAGCACAAGCACAAAATCAATCCGTGAATTGCCTGGACAATCTGGGGAACCTTCTCTCCTTTCATCTGGCAAAGATGCCTCGTGTTGGGGGCAACAAATATGGGGTGCCTTGCAACTTCTCCAACAATTAGACAGAATGCTACTGGCCGAACAGCACAACGCAGTGTGTGTGTGTGTGTCCTAAATCAAGGTAGCAACGTACACTTTCTCATAACTTAACATCCACTCAAACCTATCCTGGCAGTCAATCTGTTTGAGTCTTTATAGAACTGGACAAAGCACACCGAGTTGGTCCTGCCCACACAAAACCGCTCAACTGCAGGAGCTTTCTCCGGCCACCGTGTGAGCAAACATCTGGCGGTCTGCCTAACCGAGAACCTCGACAAAGGCCACTCCACAGATCAGCCAAGATGATCGAAGTAGTGGGGCCCTTCATCATTTCTTGGAGGAAAAAAACGACGGAAAAACATGTTGGTGTTCAGACACCTCTGATTTCGGTTCTGACTCTGGGTTTCCTGTTCTCGAGGTCCTTGAGTCCCTCAAACGACTCCCTCGAGAACTTGCTCTTCGAGCCCTGCCTTCGGCCTTCTGCTTCTCCACCCAGGACCCCACGATGATCATAGCGCTGTCGCAGGCCTCCTCCCCCGTGCCCATGGGGAAGGGGTAGGACACCATCTCCTGAAAGCCGATGTCAGCTGGGTGTGTTTGCTCGCTTGCTTGATTGTTTGATTGCTTGTTTGCTTGCTCGCTTGTTTGTGTTTTTGCTTTTGTCTTTGTTGCCTTGTTTGTTTTGATTTAAGCTGTTTGTTTTTGTTTTTTGTTGGTGTTTTTTTTGGGGGGGCCTACCCTTACTATTGTTTATTACTTTTTTTTACTGGGGAAAGGGTGCTGCCCTGTTCTTGTCTTCTTGCTTTCTTGGGGGGGAGGGGGTTACCCTTTTCAGGTTGATCTAAAGGGAAACCACAAGGACAACCGTCAGTTCATGGAGTGTTTTGAGAAGCTTGCATAAATCATCCACCGGTTCATGGGTGGTTTATCTGGTTTGCGTCCGAAGAAGCTAAAGTTGGAGCATGAGGTTCAGTGAAACATACCCACCAGCTTGCGAATCCTCCAGCGCACATCACTCAAGTCTCAAGCATGAAATCCTATGGCTATCCTCCACCAACTTGGGTCAAACATTTGGCTTACGGCATGCGCTCGTCTCTTGGTTCATGCAGGGGACTCATCATCGCTTTGACCAAGGTAACCACCATGGTCCTGTCCATGTGGAGGGAACGCTTCAAGCTGGTCCAAACCGGGCCGGAGTTTTCTCGGCAACTCTGGCTCAAGGGTGACAGGCCCAAGCAAGACCCATCCTCTCGCTCGAGAACCAGCAAGCCATGCGTCCCCTGGCCGTGGGTACACACAAAATGAGATACCATACATAGTTGACATGTTGCAAGCACAAGGAGTCTTGTCTGCGTCAGAAAGCCAAGGACATGCCACGTCGAAACAAACAACTCATGTATGCAAGAGTGTAATGTTGACCCCATATTGGGAATGTCCGATCCTGGGTTTGGTCGCGAATCAAACCACGCCACGACCCCCCTATTTTCCTACACTGGGGTTTGTTAATATGGGGTCAACATTGCATACTTAGGGGTCTCGCACTGCCCATGAAGTCACGCTGTTGCCATCAGATTTCGGAGCGCCTCGATCAAGGATCTTGTTGCATGTTCCTGGGCGAGCCGACAATGCTCCTAATTGCGGCACGCGAGAAGTTGACACATTGCATGGAACCCGCACTTGCCTGCACAAGATTGTCTTTTTCCCTCAATGTCAGTGTTCATCATGGTGCAAATTACACTTTGGTCGGAGCCGCGCGATTCACAGTGGATAAACATGGGGCACCCATTGTTCCCTTCAAAGTGATCATGCCATCTTCATACATCCCCAGAATCAATCACCCTCCTTGGCTTGCTGATGTTACCCTTCAGGCCACATTCTCTCCGCCATCACGATC